TCCCCCGAAGCTGGTCCTTCTTAGGTATATGAGCTAATAAATTCCTTTTGTGTTTAACCCTGTTGAGTAGGCGTTTGTGTCTCTGGCAACCAAGAGCACTCCAAATTGGTAGAGTAGGTAGGTAGTTAGATATGAGCAGGGAACAAATGCTTTCCAACGGATAAAAAGGGAGAAAATCAAATTCCAAACAGCAGAGAAAGTCAGGGGGAGGAGTGGGGGAGGGATAGTCACGTGTTCTTCCCTGTAACTGCTGCCCCCCGGTAACCTACAGCTTCATAAGTATACATTTACGTCCCCTGCTGGGGGGCGGCTGCGATGACAGTTCCACATATAGGGCTCCCAACCCCCCCACCCCACCCCCGCAACCAGTAGGAGTCCTTTAGATGATTGGAGACAATTAGAGACTGCCCTAGTTATGACCTATAACCCATGCAAGTATAAAAAGCAAGACAAGCCTGGGGCGCCTGGGTGGCTTAGTCGGTTAAGCGTCCGACTTTCGCTTAGGTCATGATCTCGCGGTTCGTGGGTTCGAGCCCCGCGCCTGGAGCCTGTTTCAGATTCTGTGTCTCCCTCTCTCTCTGACCCTCCCCTGTTCACGCTGTCTCTCTCTCTCCTAGAAATAAATAAAACATTAAAAAAAAAAAAAAAAAAAAGCAAGACAAGCCTGACCCCTGGTGTCGTTTTCCTCTGTATAATTTCTCTTTAACTTCCATTCAATACTTGCTTACTGGAGAGTTTAGCTCTGAATTCTTTCTTGGCCAAACTCACGAACAGAGGTCAGCGTGGAGGCAAGGCAAGGCACCAGCCGATGACAAAATGACAGGAGGAATCGATGAACATTCTCCCACCCTCCTTTCCTGGAGGGTCCCGGCGTAAACACAACCTTGTGTGGGGGCGCAGCTGGTTACAAGACAGGGAAATCTATCCACGCTGGTAAGTGCAAAGGAGTGCTTGTTACACGTGTGCGGCACGGTCTACAGAACCCAAGGCAGCACAAGGTAGAGGTGAGATTCATGCAGAACCAGCATCAGGCACCTAGTAGGCAATTATTAAATACCTGTTGATGCCAATGGAATGCATGCTCAATTAACTAGAATGGACCCTCCATCTGGAGCTGAGATACTGCCTCCAAGCCTCCGGAGCCACCCAAGCACTCATCTGATTTTTCTCTGCAGATCAGCTCCATTCTTCTACTGTTTGTGTTTGTTTATCACTACCCACCCCCAGCCCCACCGCCACTAAAACTAGCCACCCGTATTTCTCCATCTGCCCATGGCCTTAGAAGCTCCAACAACGGACCTCTTTCTTCGCATAGCTGTTAAAGAACTGGGGCAAGGGAATCTGATTGGCTCACCTTAAGTCAAGTGACCACCTCTGATCCAATCAGTGGAGTCATCTGCCAAGAGAGGAAGCCGGAATGGGAGGGCAAGCTACATGGGTTCACCCCAGGATGGGGGCTGAAGTTGGTCCCAGAGATACAGAAGGCCCACCACTCCCACCGACCCCCAACTTTATCGAGCCACAGACCAAGGACACTGAGTGTTAACTATTCCTTTATTAGGTGCTGAGGGGACTGGGGGCTGTACAACGCAAGGGAATTGAGCTACACAGGGATAGTGACCAGAGCCACATTACAAAAATAGCCTAAAAATACTTCTATTTTGCCCCCCCAGGGCTGGGCCAGGGGAGTGGGGGGGGGGTGTGTGCCACCAGGCAGCTCATTCCCTTCCTGTGGTCCCATATTTAGAGGGAGACTAAGTGACACGCACACATCTCCCCTGGTCCTCACGTTCTCACCAGCCACCCCCACCCAGCTCCCCAAGGGAGGTGGCCCAGGCTCTAGGGTTGGGGGGGACCTGGGGCGGGCTCTCTGGACCGGAAGAGCCCTCCCCCTCAGCAAAGCTATAGAACAAGTTCATCTGGAATGCAGTGAAGTGAGGGACGTGGGGGAGGAAACAGGCTCCCGAGTCTCACTCAACCCCTGCCCCGGAGGGTGCGCCCAAGGATGCCTACTTGGTACACACCAGGGTTGTGTACTCGGTACACGGGATCCCGCTTGGCCGAACGGGCCCACAGACTCAGCCCCGCGGGGGCACTGGGGGGTGTGCAGGGGGCAGGGGGTGTCTCCATATATATACTTTGTAAAAAATAATAATAATAATAAGTTTGTTTAAATGAATTTGTTTCTATACAAAATGTAAAAAAAAATAATAATAATAATTCACTCGTGTCGAGTGTAAGGAGAGAGACCAGAGGAGGCAGGAGAGGGAGGAGGGGAGGAAGCAGGGGGAGGGGGGAAGGGTGCGGGAGGAGGTCCCAGGCTCATCACAAGACCCAGGGGGTGGGGGGAGTCAGCCAGCACCCCCTATAAATAAAGCAGGACTGAAAGCCTAGGCTGCTCACCTATCTCAGCCACACTTCAGGGGGGGCGGGGGGAACCGGTGCCAGGAAGCTGGTGGAGAGAATGGAAAGGTCTAAAAAGGAAGCAGGGAGCCAGAGAGAATCAGCACAGGATGTCTGTTCAGCTCCCCAAAACCCAGGAACTGAAGGCTCAGGCCAACACCTGCCTCTTGGGGGTGACTTCGGGCTGGGGCCCCAGCTGGGTCTGGGCCTGAGCTAGGGGGCCCGGGACGGAAAGGGGCAGCGGCTGGGCGGGCAGTGCCCCAGCGGCTGTGGCCGCGGGCCCGGTGGCCGTGGCTGGGCTGGGCGTGGAGTCTGACCAGTCCGAGAGGGAGGGGGGTGAGGGGCTGGCCCAGTGCTCGGGGGACTCGGGGGACGGGGTCAGGTAAGGGTGCTCGCTCGGGACCCTCAGGAAGCGGGCCTTGGGGGGGCTGCTGTGGGCGCCGGCTGCCGGGTACTCCTCGCCGTGTCCCGGGGCCGCCAGGTAGGGCGGGGGCCGCTCCTGGGGCGACACGGGGGTCCCGGGGTTCAGCAGCGGGGGTCCCGGTGCCAGCGGCAGCAGGAACGAGGGGCCCGGCGGGGCGGGTGGAGGCAGCCGGGCCCAGTCGAGGGGAACGGCCACGGGGTTCAGGAGACCCAAGCTGAGCACGCAGCCCCCGGGGGGCTGGCGCCCTAGACCGGCCCGGCCCGCGCCCCCGAGCTGCGCCAGGGACACGGCCGTGGCGGTGGCAGCCGCGTAGGGCCCCTCGAGGGAGAAGCCGCCAGGGGACGCGGGGGGCCCGCCGAAGGGCCGCGGGGAGTCCAGCGAGTCCACGGGCGACAGCGTGACCGAGCTCTCGGCCAGGGGACCCGGGCAGGCCAGCGTCAGCTTCTTGCCCCGCCCCCGGGCGCCCTGCGGCCCCAGCCCCGCCTTCCCCGGCGGCCTCCGGCTCTTCTTGCCCCCAGACTGTGCCACCTTGAGGCCTGGGAGGAAGGCCCCCGGCGGGCAGAGGAGGGGCCCCAGGCCGTGCGGGCCGGGAGGGCTCCGGGGCCCACTGGGCTGGTCCAGCAAGCGCACGATGTCCTGGTGCAGCCGCTCCTGGGCCACATCCCGCGGCAGCCTGTCCAGGTGGTCTGTGATCTCGCGGTTGGCGAAGTGGTCCAGCAGCAGCTTGGCAGCCTCATAGCTGCCCTCTCGGGCGGCCAGAAACAGCGGCGTTTCCTCCTGAGGGGGGGTGGAGCACAGAACCCAGGACAGGTCGTTGACGGCCAGCCAGGACTGACTCCTGGCCGAGGTCCCTAACCCTCCAGCCTCTGCTGGAGACGAGCTAAGCATCCGCACTCGCCAGCCCCACAGGGCTCGGATGAAACGCCCGCTCTGCTGAGAAAACTAGGCAAGTCCTTTCCTTTCAAGCACGTTCATCCAGCACCTACTAAGCATCATGCCCCAGAGCCAGGACTAGGGTGAGAAAAGTGACGCCCTTAGGCACAAAACTTAAGGGGAGTCAAAAACCAGTCACCAAACTGAATGACATTTTAATGCGCCCCTTCTTAAATTTGCGATGGTTGCCAAAAAATCCACAACGGAGAAAATATCAAAATGTCAGCAAAGGACAGACTCCCTCCCCGTGTCCGTCTGAGCCTCACTCTTTCCATTTATAAAATGAGGAGGATCATTCCACCTTGCAGGGGATTTAAAACAATAATCGTTAACAGTTGCCTTTTACTGAGGATCTACCAAGCATTTAACAAATGCATTATTTCACCGAAGCCTCAGGAGACAGCAATGGGGTGGGTACTGTTGCTTCCCCACCTCACAGATGAGGACACCGAGGTTCAGAGATGTTCAGCAGTTTGCCTGAGGTCACACAGCAACTGCCACACACTTCTTTCTCTGATCCACTATTGGAGGTTGTTAGGTCCGAATCCTACCCCCGAAACCTGGCTGCGGGCAAGATGAATGCCCACACTAACGCACCCCACCCCGCTCTCTGCCACATTTAGGGGGCTGCGCCGGGGCTGACTGCCTGGTGGGTCAAGGGCTGGGGCTCACCTTGCTATCCTGCATGTCCTTGTTGGCTCCATTTTTCAGCAGGGCCAAGGTGGCCTCCACATTGTTGACGGCTGCTGCCCAGTGTAAGGCTGATTTCCCTGTGGGGGGGGAGGGGGAGAGATCAAGGTAGACTAAGCTCATTTGCTATCATCCCATGGCAGGAGGACAGGAAGTGTCTTTTTCTTTTTAATTTTTTTAACATTTATTTATTTTTTTTATTTATTTCTAGAGAGAGAGAGTGAGCAGGGGAGGGTCAGAGAGAGAGGGAGTCACAGACTGAAACAGGCTCCAGGCTCTGAGCTGGCAGTCAGCACAGAGCCCGACGCGGGGCTCGAACCCACGAACCGTGAGATCATGACCTAAGCGAAAGTCGGACGCTTAACCGACTAAGCCACCCAGGCGCCCCTAACATTTATTTATTTTGAGAGACAGAGAG